TTACTTGAAAATTCCCGGATAGCCCTGTACCACCTAACGAGTACATTGAAGGTTTTGATTTTCAACAGCCTACGGCACCATGGTTGTCTAAGCAACGAACAAAGGTGTCCCTTGCAAATGGCCATTCCCCCGGGAGTAAAAACGATAGGACCAATATGCCATAAGCCACCTTGCTGTAGAGCATCTTTCAGTTCGCGTAACTGGAAACAAGTGCTGCCAATACGTACCGAGGAAAATCCAAAACATCGTCGGACCAGAGACCAAGAATCCACCCAAAGACTGCCAACCGAAGATTCAAACCAGAAGTATTTCAGTTTGTGAAAGCAAGCAGAACGTAGAAGGCCCAGAAGACTATCCAACCAAGGTCCATCCTCGAATCTGAATTTAACCACACCTACACCAACATCTAGCACTATCGTACCCTTTCTTCTAGTCCGTGCAGGCCTAGAACCCCGCCGGGGTATTCGAGTCTTCTTTCGGAAATTCAAACTAGGTGAGAAATTACAGATCATTACTTTCTCGGCAGCAGCCACGGAAATCACCCCATTCACCAACGGCACCACGACATACTCGGATACACCAAAGTGACGTAGCCATCGATAAAGTTTAGGACAAACACCGAACCATGAGACTTGACCATGCGTAGGTGCTCACCCCTTCTAACGTAGATACTACGTACAGAGCATCCGATGTACTGGGCTCTACACCAAGGGGATGAGAGCAGGTAGACAACCGGACCCGAATCCCAATTATCCTAGTCCATGTCTAACAACAAAGAGCGAAATTTATGCATCCATACTATCTCTCCCAAAAAGGTCAGGCCGACAAAACAGAGAGTAACACAAGTGTCATACAACAAACGGATGCGCGGCGAACAACCTGGCGAGGTGACAGGAGTAAAGACAAATCCCTCATAAGCAAGCTTGGCACATGCCTCAATAATCTTCTCAATGGTGGGTTCCTACGTGGTATAAGTCACCCCTTCTTGTGCACAAATGCGTTTCAGCTGATCCTTGTTCTTAGTGATGAGGAGCTTCCGTTGCGCTTGGACATAGGCCAGCACCCCCTCGGGTCCTGATCTAGTAGGAATCTTGGTCTTGCGTTGCTGACCCGAGAACGAGGACTCCGCAACCGGCGGATCATCCTCATGCTGAAACAGTGGTTGCCGAAAAACACGCTTCCCTGCCGTAGTTGCCGCCTTACCCTTCCTCTTTTTCTCACGTATCTCGTAAGGTAAGGCAATTTTTATCGTCGATTTCCTACAGCGCTTTAGAGGCATAATCTCTCATGTCCCTATCATCAAAATTTTGTACTTGTGACGCGCAACCTCACGCCCCGGGCTGTCTTTCGTTCGGAGTGCTAAGTGTGCGGAAAAGAGGCCCAGAAAAACAGCAAGATGGGGTGTGCCAAGGATTTTTGGGAAATTGAGTGTGGGGACACAGACAAAACTAAAATCCCCCGTGACGGTCCGATGAAGTGAGTCGATTGCTTTTCGCGCGTTGCAGAATGCGCGCGCGAATTTGACGCGCGAGGAGAGAGGAATACAAATTTAATCCAAAAAGTACTGTCGTACTTCCCACCATGCTACGGCCCTTCGTTTAGAGCAAAAAGGCTTTGGCACGCTTCGCGCGTCTCGCTTGCGTATTAAGTCACGGCGTCGCTCGCTGATCAGTACTGAGTCCGACGTGGAGGGTCTCAGTCGCGTGGCTCTTTCTCTATGTTCGTCGTCGTTCCGTATACGGCAGTGAAAGCCCTTGGATTCGTAGCGCTCGAAGCGCTGACACTCAGTGCACAGAGTGCGAGGCCAGTGGGGTTCCACTGCCGTCCACGGAATGACGATCAGCTTGTTAAAGGGCAATAATACCGAGTAAGGCGGAAAGTGCGTATCGATAATAACAAATCCAGCATCCACGAATCCTGAGCAACGATTTTCAGGAGGGAAGTAATACCGTTCGCCGATCCGTGTGACAACTTTTCGTACGTCCCACTCGCATACACGTGTCCTTTCCTCGTCGTAAGGAAAAGGTCGCGTCGGCAGGGGGGATACGGGAGGCTGGCGCCCGATCGAAGGGCGTTCGTCAGTCCGCATGTCCATCAATTGCAAAAATCCTGAGACGTCATCAAGGAAAAGCAACGCCCGCGCAACAACCAATCAATTCTTTTCGACACGAGAGAGAGAGCACTTATCATTTTGATTGTGCACTTAACCGAGGGACCGACCCGCGACTCAGGTTTAGTGAGCCGACGCGGCGTTGATCCGAGGCGCCTTGTTTTTCGAGACTGCCCCGGAGATCGGTTGCAGATGTCGTGCAGCATAAGGCAGATGGCATGCGCAGTGCATTCAGAACCACATATCTAAACACTCTTGCATTCTCGAACATTCGAGCATCGAGTCTAATCAATGCAAAAAGACGAGCATCTTCATACATGCATCCACTGTGGAAGGTGCGAAAAATGACCAGGGGTGCACAGTTCAGAAATCAACCGAGAAAACTGTACACACGCATCCACCATTCACAAGACAAGA